CATCATTATTGTTATTATCATTATTATCTTTGTAATAATAATAATAATGATGATGATAATAATAATAAGATAATGATAATGATAATAATTATGGTTATTATTATTTTGTTGTTGTTGTTTCTGTTGTTCTTGTTCTTGTTATTATTATTACCATTTACATTGCATATTTTTCTGTTAGTATTATCATTATTAATATTTTGCCATTATCACTCTCATTAGTATTATTGCAAATTGCTTTACTATTTTTCATCATTATTATCATAATCATTATAATAATGATAGTAGTTATTATCATTATTATTATCATTTGTTATCATTATCGTCATTATTTTTATCATTATTATTATTATTACTATTATCATTATCATTATTATTATTATTATTATTATTATTATTATTATTATTATTATTATTATCATTATTATTATTATTATCATCATCATCATCACCAATATCATTATTATCATTATTGTTACTATTACTACTACTACTATTATCACTATCATTATTACTATCTTTATTAATGGTTTTATTTCTATAATTCTTAATGTTGCCCTTCTTATTATTGTTATTATAATCATAATAATAATTGCTAACATAATCATTATTATTATCATTATCATTATTGATGTTACTATCATTATTGTTATTATTGTTATTCTTATCCTTATTATTATTATTATTATTATTATTATTATTATTATTATTATTATTATTATTATTATTATTATTATTACTATCATTATCATTATTATCATTATTATTATTATTATCATTGTTATTATCAATACTGTTATTACTATTATTATCTTAATAATTATTATTATTATTATTATTATTATTACTATCATTATCATTATTATCATTATTATTATTATTATCATTGTTATTATCAATACTGTTATTACTATTATTATCTTAATAATTATTATTATTATTAATACTATTCATTACCATTATCATTATTATTATTACTATCATTATTATTATTATCGTTAGAGTTATTGTTAGTATTAGCATTGTTATAATTATCATAATAATCATCATTATTATCATTATCACTATTATTGTCATTATCACTATTGTTGTTATTTTCATTATTACTACCATCATCATTACAAATATTATAACAATAATCATTACTATTTTACTATCATCACTATTATCACTATCAGTATTATTATTATTATTGTTATAATAATCATAATGATAAGTATTATCATTACTGTTACTATTATTATTATTATTATCATTATTTTTATTGTTGTTGTTATTTTTATGTTTATCATCGTCATCATCATCCTCATCATCATCATTATCATTATTATTATCATTATTATTATCATTATCATTATTATTATTATCATTATCATTATGATTATTATCATTATGATTATTATTATTACTATCATTTATAATTTTATTATCATTATCATTAGTTTTATAATTATTATTACCATTGCCATTATTGCTGTTATCATTGTTATTATAATTAGTAGTAGTAGTAGTAGTAATAGCAGTATATTTAACATTATCATCATCTCATTAATATTATTATTGTTATCAATATCATTACTATTATCACTATTTTTTTGTCATCGTTATCATTGTTAGCATCATCATTATTATTATCATTATCATCATCATCACTGTCATCCTCACCAACGCCATTACTATTATCATTATCATTATCACCATCATTATAATTATCATTATCATCACTACTACTAATAATATTAATAACATTACTATTTCGCACTCATCTTTAATAATTTTCATATAAATGTAAAAAAAATATATATAATTACCATATTTATAAGTATCATAATTTTCCTTTGTCTGAAAAGAAGGATTGTAAATTTGTTTATTTTCATCGTCATTATTGTGGCTTTTCTTATATTTTTGTTTTTGGTTAAGCGCGATTATCATAAGCACTGATTTTAGTCTTTTTTTCCTTTATCTTTCTATTTGAATGTTTTTTTTAATATCAAATATTTTTTTTTTTTTAATTATAGTCAATTATTGTATTGAGATATCTTTAATATCATATTTTTTGGTAATATTTTATTTTTTTTTTTTGTAAAGTAACTTCAGTAATATCCAAACCTATTTTGATATATTTATTGTCAATAATTTACTTACAAAATTTCATGAACCAATACCTGCTGTCACTTTCCTAACCTGGACGCTGGTGGAGTCGACGAAGTGTGACGCCGTAATACATGAATGAATCATTCATTAAACTCAATCACACGAGATAAACGAGAGAATAATTTTGTCTTTTTTTTTCTTCTTCTTCTTCTTTTTTATGTGTATGCGTGTGCGTGTGTGTGCTCCTGTTTACCTTCAGTCGCAGGACCTTCTTGGCTGGGTGTTGAGGGAGGGTCGCTAGAACGCGGTGTGAGTTTCCGCTAAAGGGAAAGGGATTGTCGTGTTCGGGTGTCCGGCCCTGCACTGAGGATGAGCTAAATCTTGCGAGGGCTCTGTGCAACGTCCCCTC